TGCGTAGGGTGTCTATCATCGTCCTAGGGTTGCGTGTAGGGCTGCTTATTGCGTGTAGGTTAGTTGTTTGCGTAAGATGCGGGGTAGGGTTAGGGGTAGGGTTGGGGTTTAAGTTTAGGGTTTAGGGTTAGGGTTAGGATTAGGGTTTAGGGTTAGGGTTAATGTTTAGGGTTAGGGTTAGGGGTTAGGGTTAGGGGTATGGTTAGATGTGAAAATTGTCACGTAGGAGGTCGAAATAGTGGCCGACAATTTGATGCTTGTGGGAGTGGCGCCACTGAAACTCTGCCAAATATGACGCCAATAGCGTGCGACTGTGCGCGATTATAGGGAACTACGGCGTCACAATTGTCACATCTAACGCAAAACCTAACCCTACCCCTAATCCTAACCCTAACCCTACCCCTAACCCTACCCCTACCCCTACCCCTAACCCTACCCCTACCCAAAACCCTACTTCTAACCCTACCCCTAACCCTACCCCTAACCCTACCCCTAACCCTAACCCAAACCCTAATCCTACCGCTAACCTTACCTCTAACCCTAACCGTAACCATAACGCTACCCCTAACCCTAACCGTAACCCTAACGCTACACCTAATCGTAACCCTAACCCTACCCCTAACTCAAACCCTAATCCTACCGCTAACCCTAACCCAACCGCTAACCACGCAAATTTATCGGTCATTAAAGCTCACAGATCGGCAACACACCCACACACAAACACACACACAAAAACCCCAGATTTTCCCGCAGCGTCAAAAGAAAACCCCAGATCTGGGGGACACAAACAAGCATTGGCAGCCCCGATGTCGACCTCACTGTCTTGTTTGATTCGTGACTTTTTCCGCGACTTGTTGTGAGTGCGGCAAAGGGAAAGAACTCCCACTAAGCCGGCCGACGCCGTCTAGCTTGCCGGCCAAATCTGCTAGGAGAGCACAAATATATTTTATATAGTGTTTGTGTGTTTATGTGTGTGTGTGTGTGTGTATGTGCATGGCGAGACAAAGAATTATATATATACTAGCTGTACCCGGCCACGCGTTGCTGTGGCGTAATTTGGCTACATGGAAAAAAGAGAACATAGAAATGTGTCTTCGCTTCACGCTAGCGATGTACAGTGCAACAGCTAAACCACAGCTAATAAAACTTTGAGTGGTAAGGCAGTTACTGTAACTTAAATCTATCTCAGTAAACAGTTTATTGTAACCACCCATCCCCCAGTTTACATACTACTTTCTCCTTCATCGAAGTAGTTGGAAAAATTACCCTAGTGAAAAGCAATGAAAAGAGGAAAAGTACATCATAATTACGAAATGAGCACATTTGCTAATTGCTGTAAACAACCCTGCACGCGTTGCTACAATAGAAAGTGAATTGAAAGGAAAATCACTTTAACAAAATGTAATTATATTGGATCATTGTGCCGATAATTTAACATTAAAAATGTATTTACTGAAGTGCTTTTGGGTAAACAATATTCTTTGTTCTTCCGTCTGGCGCGTACACAAATAAATTAGAAGGTTTTCCGACGCGTGAACAGGCCACATATAGCTGTCCATGTAAAAAGCATGGATGTTCCAAACGTAGTCCACACACTTGTAGGGATTGTCCCTGTGATTTGTTTATGGTCATTGCAAAGGCGAGTCGCACCGGAAACTGCAAGCGTCTGAAGTCAAATGGCATGTCTGTTGGAATCATTGGGATGCGTGGCAAAAGTATATTCTCGCCCTTAAATTTCCCATTTAAAATTGTACCTTCGATGATATTGAGCATCAGCCTTTTCACTGAAAGCCTGGTACCATTGCAAAGACGTGGCGGATTGATGTTTCTGAGAAGAATGATGGGCACGCCAATTTTCACGGTTAAAATGTGGGGTGGCATGCCTGGCAAATCAAGTGAATTTAAGAACTCAGTTGGATAATTAACAATTTCGTCCTGATTCATTACAGTATCGATAGACTTATACGTTGTCACACCGCCTGGTAATTTGTCTTAGATTTTCGGATTCATGGCAACTCACGATCGAAAGGTTGTTTGCAGATTGTACAGCCAGTCCCACCTGAACCAGTGTTTTGTTAGTTATTGACAAACATATGTCCTCAATGCAAACAAATGACTCATTATATACATTTGGTATGAATTGAAGGTCCTGATCATGCTTCGTGTCACGCCAGGATGTCTTCACTCATGTAGTCTTTGTATTTTCCCAAAGCTCTTTTGGAATGAATGGGAAGCAAGTTGTTAATATTATTGCAAATAATGTGCGTATTTGCTGTGGTCGAGCAGTATTCGAAGCATCAGCGAGTGAAGTGTCCTAATGTGCATCATTTTCAAGAAGATTCAATTCTTGACAACCTTCACGGTAAGTAGCGCATACTTTACCATAAACTGTTCTCAAGTCCTGGAAGGATGCCGGTCCCCGTTTGTTGATTAAAAGTAATCGCAAGTAAAAGCAATCTGCATTTTTGGGATGAACAGTGTACAGACGGCCTAAAATATC